TGTCTGATTCTAAAGGTTCATAATGTTCTAAAGGGTAGCTTCTCTAGAAATGAAATTGGGGTTGAAAAAAGATGAAAGGACATGACTGAAGCACAACTGTGGTTCAAACATTTACTCGCCTTGTGGCAAATGGGGCTCTGGCATTAATTAGCCATATGAAAAATCTAGTCGCACTTGGAGAGTAGGGAGTGTTAATTTCAGATCCTGCGTATATAGTCTGCTAAATCCAGGAATGCTAACTTGTGCCAGAAATTATAAACCATGAAAAAGAGAAAGAAATGAAAGTACTTTTTTGTCCAAAGCCAAAAGTGCAGGTGCTATAACACCAGCTCTTTATATCCCTATAAACAACAAATTATTCACAGATAATCACCCTAAAACTGAGTGATGAAAAATATAAATTTTACGTGCATAAAAGATTTACTTTATTTTATAATCTATTACTCAAAATGGCATGGTTTCCAAATTCTCTTTAATATATTTAGTCACACTTCCATGTAATACTTTAAAGTTTCTTAAAATAAATAACCAGGTTTTTATTTTTGGGTTCTATACACAGTGACAGCTTTATTTCTATTTAATAAGCTAATCTGAAACAAAGACAAAGTGACTGATCATAGAAAATGCTTTAAGAAAAAAGCTGAAAAGAAATCCTACATACAATAGGACGTCAAAAGTGCTTCATGCTCTATTATACATGACTCAGCTAATAGCTCTGTGGAAAAACAGGGTTATATAGAATGGGATTACTTCTGCATAAATCTAATGACTTTCGTTTTCTCCAAGTTATTCTGTCAGGGTTGCAGTGGGGCTGAGGTCTCCTTCCAGCAGTCTATGGGCGAAAGGTCAGGACAGTTTGCCTGTCTCTCGCAGGACAACAATTCGATTCAATTCAGTTTATTTATACAGCGGTAGATCACAACACATGTCATCTCAAGGCACTTTACAGCACAGAGACACACAACCATGCACACACACTCTAAAACCCAACGGCAATTTAGAGAAGCATAGTAATCTAATAGTCATGTTTTTGGACTGCAGGAGGAAACCGGAATACCCAGAGAGAACCCACGCATGCACAGGAAGAACATACAAACTATATGTAGTGCTAGGAATTGAACCCACAACCTTCTTGCTGCAAGGCAACAGCGCTATCCACTGCCAAGCATGCAGCCCACCCAAAAGACTGATCTTCAAAATATTTTGTAGACAGCCAATGACAATTATGCCTATTTGGAAGACCCTTGGCTTCTTGGTCATAGAATTCACATACGTAGTACCATTTAAGTGAGTTGCCTGCTATAGGATTACACAGCACAGAATGAGGCTTTGTGTTGATTTGTCTTTTATAGCAGAATAACTCAAAGGTTAGAGCTAAGCTGCTCTGCAAATACAAACTTAACTAGTTTTAAAAGTGAGAAATTAGCCAATTCTCCGAGAAAACTTAAAAGTACCTCTACAGGCATTTAGCTACAGTATTGAAGAAAAATGAGATATAGCTCTATTGTATGCTATCTAACTGTAGTTTGAATCAGAGTTAAAAATAGTATTTAGTCCAAGTGCAATAGTCATCAGTATCTCAGTCCATTATTTTAGTATGTAATATCGGATCCATAAAGTGACAGTAAAAGGCCGAAAACCAAGACATCACTCTTTATAGAGACACTTTCCAGCTCATTGAGATGGATCCCAAGGTGTTCCAAGTTCTAGTCATTTATAGTCACATCTAGCAATTTCTAGGGCTACTGTGGGGTCTCTTCTCTGTTGGATGTTCCTGGAAGACTTCCAAAATTAGGTGCCTTGAAGGCATCCTGGTGTGATGCCAGGAACACCTCTGGTGATTTCTTTAAATGTGGAGGAACAGAGGGGAGTACTCAAGATTGCTCACTCTCTCTCCAAGGCTAAATGGGACATGAATACAGCGATCACAATAAAGATATGTGCCTTGAACTTGGAAAAAAAGCAAACACTTTTTCTGCTTTAATCGCTAAATGAAACGTCAAGCCACCTACATGCTCAGGACACAGCGGTGTCTTTTTGGACTTTTCCTGCCTTAAAATGCATTGTAAATGATGACCAAAAACTAGTTTGGTAATAACATTTTACTTAAATTCAAAGGCTCAGCTGTAGTTGCAGCCATGCATAAAGCATCAAAAGGAGGACATTTAATAGCTCAATTTATGCTTGATGCATGTAAATGTCTTAAAGGGTAAGGAAAAAGCAACCACAACTATAGCACTGGTAATTGGTTTCATATCAGTCTGCATGAGTTACACTAAATGTGCTGCACTGATTGCTTGCTGCTGTGAGGATTCAGACCATCACCAGACAGGACCTTGTCCTTGCTTTGACTCCGCTACTAATCATTAGTGCCCATTATTTTTCTTTCCAAGATAACTCCCTCTGTGTAATTAAGTACCACTAATAAATGCATCTCCGTTGCCAAATAAAGCTCAACATTCTTCAATACTTAAAATCATTAACCAAGAGGGTCCTTGAACCTTTTTATGGGAACATAGCCCCTTTCAATGAAAACATTCATAAACACACCCAGGATTTATATGTTTGCATCCATTGTCATTGCCAGCCCCCTGAGACGTTTGTCCTTTTAAATGGGTTTTTCGAATGTTGGTCTCTAGTAAATAAACTGTTCTTATTCCTGCTAAAGTTGTATTTTGTCACGTTACAACCATAAACCTAAATACATATTATTTACATCTTGCATGAGAAGTCTACATAAGGTACTGCATGAATCTTAGCTAGAAATAAAATGGGTTCCTAAAAGTGTTTGTGAATTCAAATCTTAGAAATGCATTCTCTGCCCTTCGAAATACCCTTGAAATCAAACCAGATAAAATCCCTTTCCTGCAGTTATCTAATAAATGAAGCCCACCTGTATGTCACGAATCCCATCAAAACTAAAGGGTTTTTTATGAAGACCTTATAGATATGTAGCAGAATGTCTGTAAACAAACAGTATCATGAAGATCAAGTAATTTAATACTTTATTAATTCTAAAGGGAAATTCACTACACAACACACTTATTCGCTGAATAAAGTAGTGTTAGCATTTAAAATATATACTAAACTTTGAACATCTACATAACACTCTTTAATCCAAGAGTATCGCATAACTACAAACCCAACAAAAATGGCCTTCCACCTAAATGTAAAGGCCAGGGTAGAAGTGCATTACTCAGAGAGGCAGCCAAGAGGTCAACGTTAACTCTTAAGGAGCCCAGGAGATCCACAACTCAGGTAGGAGAAGCTGTCAGCAGCCCTATTAGCTGTGAACTTCCGAGGCTGTTATGAAAAAGCGGCAAGAAGAAAGTCATTATTGAGGTTATTTTCAAAGTTTTCCACAAGCAAATATAGTGGAAGCAGCTAATCTGGAAGAAGATACTCCAGTCAAATTAAAATTGGACTTTTTGGCTTCGATGCACAGTTATGCTTGATGGAAAAGTAAAAATTCACATCACTTTGAAAACAGTAGTGGTAGCATCATGATGTGGGCACACTTTTTATACCACAAAAGACAGGCATCCGACACAGTGGGTTTAACACAGGTGGGAAAAAGCAGAAATACATGCCACACTTTTTAGAATTTGTGATTAATCAAGTAAACCAAGTCTCATTTTCCATCCACTTACAAATCGGGGGCTTCTTTGACTCATCTTCCATAACATATTCAAAAAGTTGTGTTTTTGTTTCTTATAATACATCTAACGATGAAGATGTAAGAGATGTAAGATCTCAGAATATGTGCCTAAAAATGACAATTTTCTTTGTTCTGGATAGCTATAGTGTTACTTCAATTCATTTTCATTTTTCTCATTTGTAGAAATTGTTCTGTCATACTAGTTTTATTACTAAGCAATAGCTGCGGATATATATGTTTTTAATTGTTCTATGCAAAATAACTTTAAGAGAATAGAATTTAGTTTAGTTTTTTTTCTGATTTTACACAAAAAAGTCCTTAAAACCAAACATATGCTCTAGCGACTGGGTGGGATGCATATGCACACTGTTGGATGAGCACACAGGGTCCTCACAATTATGCAACAGAGCTTTCAAGTCTCTCAGCCCTTTGATTCCCCTGCTGTCCTTATCACAGCATCCAATTCCGATGGTAAATGAATCCGTCACAAACACTGCAACACATACAATTCCATCACATGCCTTGTCTTTCCTTACCTTTTCTAACGTATGCTGTCTCCTACACGCCAAAGTTAATGCAGTGTTGTGGATCTTATCTGTTTAGTCGTGTAATCTGAAAAGCAAGTGAACCTGCTGTTTCTAAAAAAAAAAAAAAAAAAAAAAAGCACTGCAGCCAAATGGATTCCCACATGAATTCTAGCAAGTATTTGTAGGATGTGGTGCTATAAAAGTCTCCACCAGAGTTAAGCCTTATTAAGAGCAGATTGGGTTCATACTGCAAGGCATGCATGCATAGAACCAAACCTTTTCCTTCAGATCCAACCCTCACAACTAAAAGCACCTTTTTATTACTACTTTCTCTTAATTTGATCTGAAGGGATCAGTGAGTGAACTCTATACCTGCAACAGATATATCCATTTGTTTGCAGTCTTACATAATTAAAATCAATCCCACTTGTTGTAGAAGTCAATATTTTCAATTTGAGGATGAAAATTCTAAGACTTGGATTAAATATGTGTCAGTGGTAAATTTATAAGGATAAGTGAAACTGAGGTCTCAGGCGTTAGGATACTTTATTGAATTAAGCCTAAAGATTAGTTATGATTTATAAATAAAATGTTAGGTATTTGGGCTTAAATATAGTACAAGAATAAAAGATAAAAATAAAAAAAAAACTTGAGAAAATAAACCAGCATGCATATATCAGTTAAGCTGAATATACACCTGTAGTATCAAACCTATCTCTAATCAGAAAGTACTTCTTGAATTTTCTCCTTAATTAATGACAATGCGCACCGGTCTGTGGCTCATTAAAGGCAAAACTTGCGGGAAAATAACTTACCCGGTTTCCGAAGCAGAAAGGAAATACTGGAATAAACCAAGCGGCGCGAAAAGCACATTAGGTTCCACATTTATGTTCATTCACAGCTTCCCGACGTTCACGCCGACACCCAGTTAGTGCGCCGACAAAGGAGCGCGCGCGGGCGGGAGCGAGCCTGCTGGCCACAGACAGCGGAGAGAGGTGCGTCAGTGGAGAGGAGGTGTGAAGACAATACATGTAGCAACAGCAACAAAGTAGAATATTTAAATAAAGAAAAGCTTTTAGACAGCATTCAAACTTAAAGTGAGACTTTTTGTCTCCCCGCAAATGTGCTCACATCTAAGGTCATTAATATCCGTTTTACTCTCAATATGAATATTTTATGGAGTCCTCACCATAAACGCTCTAAGCAGCTGCTTAAGGACCCCAATCCAACAGGGGCCCCTTAAAGTGCAATAATTCATGAACAAGTAGGGTTTCAATTAAATTAATTTCAATTCAGTTTATTTCTATAGCGCCAATTCACAACACATGTCATCTCAGGGCACTTTACAGTTCAACCAGATCATACAGTCAAATTGATTCAAAGTTTTCTATCTAAGGAAAACCAGATGATTGCATGGACTCAATGCAATCCCTCACACTAAGCATGCTTGTAGTGACAGTGGAGAGGAAAAACTCCCTTTTAACAGGAAGAACCAGGCTCAGTGTGAGCGGCCATCTGCCGAGGACAACTGAGGTTCAAGGAGACAGAAGCAGAGATACAAAAAGCAACTGTAAAAGGCGGCCCAATCCAGGAAACACAGCCAGGCAGACGAACTTTGAGCCAACTCCCACGCCACAGGATGAAGAGAGCACATCCAGCCAGTTGCCGTCAGAGAAACAGGACTACACTGGAAAACAGGCGAATCTCCAACATCTATAAACAAGGGTTTTGATTTCCAAATCGTTTGTCATTGTTGTGGCTTATGTATGATGAAGGTCTAATTTGTGATCTGTGATATTTGAAAATTCAAATGTTAAGCATTGTAGGAAAGCCTTTCTCAGTAAAACCAAGTTATTGAATTTGTTAAGAGTTTATATGCAGATTTCTAGTAAAAACAGCATTGAACAATCAGTAAATGTGTTCCAAAAATATAAAGTGAAAATTTGGGGAAAACTATGTGGTTTTCCCTGGGAAATGTGTTTACTATTGCTTTACGAACCATGTAATATGCTCTGATCTCTAGAAGCCAAATTGAAGTTTGCTCTTAAAATCTCGTTGATTTTTTTTTGTTGTTTTTGTTTTAAACATAGACTTTTAATTGCATGGCAAGTCATTATACCACCATTATACACTCTTTTACAAAGTAATAATGTAAGTAAAAAAAGTTAAAAGTTGTGATGCTACAGTTAAACTGTGAGGAAAAGTAAATAATGTTCTTAAAATAATAAACATTTTCTTAAAATAAATCAGATTTTCTTTTAAACATAAATGTCAAAAATGTGAAATGCATATGTATTCAAAAAAAAAAAAAATAAGTTGAGATAACCAGAGATTACTTTTTTTTTCACTACTTATATTGAAAATTAAGCTGAGTTTTATTCATATTTGAGAGTATTTAGTTACAGTGCAAAACAAACTCAAAAAGTCTGTTTTTTTATTAAGTTGTTATAAGCCCTTAATTAAAAATGTATAGAACACTTCTCTAACAGATTTATATGTTTAGATCCATATATTGAAATTGTATATATTGTATTTAAATTAATTTGAAGAATCCTCTCCTCGCTAAAATGGGTCGACCTGTACATCCCAGTCTATTTGAGTTTTGTATATACTTAGGTTTCTTTCAGGAATATGATCAGTAATACTTAAAATATTTTTATGGAAATCAATGTAGATGAGAACGGCTGAGTAAAATATTTTTTCTCTCTATGGTACTGAAGAGAATTATCTATTGAATAATATTTTTTTGTTATATAAATGGAGGGCTTATGCTAGATCTGTATTTAATGTTTGTCTATATAGGTTTGTTGCTTAGGTTGGACAGGGAGGTTAGTTATGATGGATTTTCTTCTACTGCACAAGAGAAGTACAAGAGGTTTTTGGAAAGGAGGCCGAATCCCTTTAACTAGGACTGACAATCTGGCACTTTTAGAAAGACCTTATACTTTACCCTCATAAATGATTAATGTTTAAAAAATGGAAAAGGTTCTCAACAGAGAACAAAAAGAAGAAAACAAACAAACAATCAGAATCACAGTAACAGAAGGTGATACGTTTTTTAAGCAGTTGCAGGTTGCTAAACAAGTACTGCTTCATTTAAGAAACACAAACTTCCTGGAGTGACCCAGTTAAAATCCATGCTTGAATCATGCTGAAAAAAATATATGGTGGGACCTAATGAATGAGATAATTATGTTATTGCCACCCAGTTTCACATTTTATTCTTTTATTTTTAAATAAGTCACAGCAAAGGTTCCAAGGTTGGCAACAGTTCAAGTTATTTGAATCAAAAATGAATCATGCTGTGGGATCCCAAGGCCAGAATTAATGTATTATCAATCCAGGGAGTTCTTGGAACTCCCTGGATGCACCTGGGAAAAATCAGTTGGGAGGTGTCCAGAGTAAACGGTAACCGGAAAACTTTGCTTTTTGCCTCAGCTCTTTCTTCACCACAACAGACCAGAGCAGTACCAGTATTACTGATGACAAATGCTTGAACTTCATGTCTTGAATCCTACCATCCCCCTATTTTATTATATTCTAATTTGTTTGGTTTTATAAGAAAGAAACTTTTATCATCCCTTTTATCATCATCATTATATGAGCGATCAGAGTCTGGTTGATTACAGATTGGCCTTAATTGTGTGAAGATTCACACCAGCATTTGAGCTGAGAACATAAGAGATCTATTAATGGAAGTGTAATGCTATGTGAATTTATGGCAGTAGTATGGTTGCGTTTAGAAGTTCATAGAACACATTTACTTATTCTGCAAAGAAAGTGCAAAATCGGTTTCATACTTTTTAAGGTAATTTGTAAGACTTTAAACGTAGATGAACTTTAAACGGTGATAAAAAGACCAGTAGGTGCATTGATGGCTACATTAAGGGGTTGGATGTAAGTCCTAATCAGGAAACTGGAAAACACTGATTAGACAATAAGCTGGTGTGTGAGTCGGAGGTGTTGTGTTGCATTTTCTATCATTTTTCTCAACTCACCTCCCTCTGAGCGCTGCGCCACTCTGCTATTTATTAAGCTGGATGTTATGTAAATTTGTTCTCCCTGTGTTTCCTACATGAAGTCCCCGATTGATATAAAAAATCCTCTTTAGTGACTTCTGGGTTTTCATGGGTTCTAATCATACTGTGAAGATTTACAGCAATACAGACAGTTAGATGTGATGTGTGGGCAGATGTGGGCTGAGACTTTATTCCTTTTGTTTTAATTAGAATTACATGAGGCTGAAAATGGAATTAAAGTACATATCAAGCTGGCCTTTTTGCCAGAGTGGTCAATTGGTTTACTCCAGTGTCAGAGAAGCAACACAGCTGCAGCCTGCAAAACCAAGTTGGAGGAGATATACTTTGTCGGCAGCATAAGGGTTGGCTGCAGATGAGACAACAATCTAAAAAGATTTAAAAAAAACTTTGCAGTAATTTGGGAAAACAAACATTGGGTCATAAAAGAACAGAAACACTGAATTTACAGGCAGCAGGTCAGTTAAAGAAAAGTTAAACGATTAACATGGACTTTATTTTTTATTTTTTTTACATTCAGGAATAAATTTAGCGAGAAAAAAATCTACAATTACTTTGGAAACAAGAATTGAATGAAATTTATGTTTTTTTGTGTTTTTTTTTTTCATCCATACATCTTCCAAATAATATATATACGTCATATATACTATATACTTTTATGAATGAGTTACCAATATAATTATCGATGCAATTCTTGAGTGAGCCTGCTAACAGTATTTAATAATACAAGGAAACCACAGTGTTTATAAAAATTGGTTGCACTGAATTGTTTGTAAAACAAGATTAATAAAAAACTTTTATAACGAAAGCATATAGTGTTTTTTATGGCAGCTATCTCTAAGTTCTGTATTGAAAATAGTCATATTGAATTTTAAGGTTAGGGCTGTTGTTAGACTTCTAGATTCCTCTACTAGGAATGTAATTTGTCTGTTGTGCTACTTTACCAAAAAGCTTCTAAGCTTCTTTCGTTTTACTTAGAGAATTCCCGATTTAATGAGTTGGTACTTCTAGAAAAATCTGACAACTACTAAATTGGATGATAGCTTTTTTTTTATTGCACCCCATTGTATCTCTACTTTAATCATCTATTGTTATGTAATGCTAGAGATGGAATATTTAAACATAGATTCTTACTAAGGGGTGAAAAAACATGGAAACACACAGAGCAGTTTTGGATTCATGACAAGGGTTCAGTCTGTATGTCGGGTGATTAACTAAAGTAGAAAGACTGCAGGATTTACTCAGGCTTTATGTAAAAGTTTTAATACAAATAACTGCACAATGTTACATTGGGTCACAGCTGAACAAATTGAGACAGGGATTTATTAACTCTCCTGTTGGGTCTTATGTTTTCTAGACTCTAGGTAATAGTAATAATGGCATACAGCAGGAATAACCAATTAAAAATCCGTGGGGTCCAAATGAAAAAAATCATCAACTAGTAAAGGTCTGGAGAAAAATTTTTAATTATTATCTGTTACTTTAAACAGAATTTAACACTGAAATCAAATGAGGTTTTTATGCATCCATGTTATACATTTAATTTTTAAATAAAAAATTGAAAAAAAAATCCATTTTAAAATCTAATTTGTCTTTTTTAAGTAGAGAACAACAATCGTTTAGTTTGGTATATAAACAATTTCCTGATTCACATATTTTTACAAAACACTTGAACAGACCGTTTGCTATTTTTTGTCTTTCTTTTTTCTGGCTTAATGAGAGGGGTGGGCTTTAGGCTGCAATGCAAGGCTTTAAACCTGGGTTTGAATGGAGACAAAGCCATTCTCAAGCACATACTGTACCAAAGTGTTCATTGTGAACCTGGATCGATATTTATTTTTGATTATGTTCATGTTTGAGAATCTTGCTTCACAGCAGCAGGTTGAGCCAAA